TACCTGTACTGTACTATACTAAAACAATAATCTCAGCCGCTCCATACATCTCCCAAACAAGATTTTGAAATAGCGAATTCCTCAATATTATGTCGTTCTATTGCAGGTTATTGCAGACTTTTAGGGCGGATTCTCTGTTACTTACAAGTTCGCAAGGATTTCTTGCCTAGCCTCGGACACAAATGCCGGACGGGTCACACGTTCACCTACAGCACGTTACTTCATTTCAGAATTCGTCCCTTTTTTCCTCGCACTGTAAGCTTGGCAACATTTTATTAGCCGAAGACATCACTCTTTATGAACCTAAGTATGGTATATTCCTTAGTAACAATATATTTGAAATCCCTTAAAACTTTTATGGTCTCATTACAATTTTGTGCTGTATCTATTTAGAGTAAGCAGAAGAGACGCACGGAACCAAAGTTGGACAAACGAAACCTTCCCAAAAACAGCATAGATGTAGACTGTATACAATACTATATATTATAGATTTTTTAATTACGGCGATCAGGCGGTGTTTTAATGCAATGAATACATGTACCTTGAAAGACCGATTGAAGTAACTAGCCCTTTTTTAACCTCCTTGTATATATATCGCCTAATTTTGCTCGATTTTTTAATTACGGCGATCAGGCGGTGTTTTAATGTAAAGAATACCTTGAAAGACTGACTGAAGTAACTAGCTGGGAAGCATTTTGTATGGAAATTATGTAGCCATTGCATCAAGATTCTTCTGTACATGTTTTTTTAATGTCTATTGTTTTATTGTGAAATGCCAGGATGGTCCCAAGCTACCTAACAATGGCTGTCTTGGCACCCCCGCCAATTTACATTAGGCAGACAATTAGCATTTAATTGGAGCCGCCACCGGCTATGTAAATTCTGACCTAAAATACTAGTAAGCCAATCGTCTCATACCCCGCATGAAACGACAGCCAATCAGTGCTTATGATACAAATTTCAAATCTGTCAGTTGGCAGCTCCAGTTGGAGTGGACGTCACTCTATGTTTGAGCATTGCAGAGTGTGCACTGTGCAATCTAATCTTACCGTTCTATAAAATGTCTACGGTTTCTTGAACCATGAAAATGGAGACGATGAGAACTTAGCCATCATCCTCAGGGAAAAGTACGGCTGGAAGAATTACCTCCCAAGCAGACTCCAAGAGCAAGACTACCGCTAGGCTGAGCAGAAACATGCACGGGGAACCCTGCCAGATTGCCCGACGCCACCCGGCGTCTCTCGCCAAGGACGGAAGATTTTTCATGTAAGCGGTTCATATTTGTTCCATCTGGTTTTTGAATGTTGACATGTTGTACATTGAATTTGTTTGCCACTTCCTTTGCCTTGTTTTCGTCGGAAAATATCTAACGAACGATTATGTACCATTTCAGCAAATGGAGAGGGGACACAGAAAGCAAGACAGCCGGACCGGACAACATACACACAAGAGACAAATCCCCGAGCCCACTGAAAGCGTCGAGGGGAGAACTATATCCGCCCCGCGGATGTCCCACTAAAAGGAAACAGCCGCTCTAGCCACTGGTAGAAACAAACGCCGGCCAGCTAAAAGTCTACACAGGAGGATATCCCTGGACGCTGTATGTAATACCAGTGAGGTCCGATCCGGGCACTAGCCTCTACCAGGCTTTGGGAGGCGGCCGGAAAGAGTAGAAATCGGCCAAATAGAGAGATAAGCATGCCAAGGGAGTTTGTCTCAACGGACAAGCCAAGGGAGTTCTCCGTTGAGACAAACTCCCTTGGCATGCTTATCTCTCTATTTGGCCGATTTCTACTCTTTCCGACCGCCTCCCCAAGCCTGGTAGAGGCTAGCCGGGCACCCGTCGGCAGGTGTCCGAGGAGCCTCCCAGACAGAAGGGGGCTATCAGCAAACGGATCAGAAGGACTGTTACACATGAACCGGCTGGTGAATATCTAGACAAACATGAGCAGACAGAACAACAGCTTTTTATTGTAGTATCGCCTTAATAATTTTGAACATCTACAAGCAATGTTTTGCAGACCAACTTTTAGTTTTAATGTGTTTTCTACAAATTAGTAAGCTTTTGTAATTGTAATATATTTTTGCGGCTAAAACTATTTTGTTGATTTTCTTCCTGTTTGTGTGATTAACCTAGTACATTACCTTTTAAAAAGGACCTTTAACCAGCTTTCTTGTTTTTGACTGTTATATGTGAATGCTGCCCGAAGGAGGCCATATATGTATGTGAATACATGTAAAAAAAATAAAAGGGTGCTGAATAAATTTTGCGTACCGTTTGTCGTATATTACAGAATTCAAGGACACTTTAAGGTGCTTATATGTAGCGTAAACATAACGATTTTTAAGCTTACTTTACAGTGCTCAAAAGTTACTTAAATAAGTGCCATTAAGTACCTTTACGGATAAATTAAGCTAGCTTAAATCACTACATTTAAGGACCCTTTAAGACGCTTAAATGTAGTGTAAACATTAAGATTCAAGCTAACTTTACGGTGCTTAAATGTTGCTTAAGAAGTTCCATTAAGCACTTTACGGATAAATTAAGCTAGCTTAAATCGCTGCATTTATGGACACTTTAAGACGCTTAAATGTAGCGCAAATATTGAGATTTAGGCTGACTTCACGGTGCTTAAATGTTGCTTAAAAGAGTGCCATTAAGCACTTTACGCACAAACTTGAAGCTAGCTTAAAAGTAATATTCAAGCACGCGTGAATATTGCTTAAATGTGCTTAAAGAGTGCCAAAACGGAACCTTTAAGCATACTTTAAGACTGCTTAGATAGCTGATTTCGTGCAGTTTATATCATAAATAGTGACGTAAAAACGGTCAAAAAGTCCCACATTATACAAGTTTAAGGGGAAGTATTGTTTTTGGCGTATCTGTCCGTGTGTCTGTGTGTGTGTCTGTGTGTGTGTCTTTGTGTCTCCGCACATTTGTAGTCAGCATAACTTCATAACGCGTTTATGGATTATGATGACATTTGGTATGCTGGTAAGTCTTACAACTGCAACAGTTGGGCAGCACCACCGACAGCAATTGACAAGCTAGATGCCTGCCACCGGAAACACCTAAGAACAATCACAGGACATCGATGGCCAAACAGTTTAATCTCGAATAAAGCACTGTACAAACTGTGCAATACAGGCCCGCTGTCAACTAAAGTGAAATGTGCCAGATGGACCATGTTCGGACACATTCTAAGAATGCCGACAGATGCACCTGCACAACAAGCCTTGACCTTCGCCCTGGTAGGATCTAACACTTACAGATCCAGAAAGGGAAGGCACTGCAGTAATCTGCTCAGTTTGCTGAGGGCAGACCTCAAGGAAAGAGGACTAGGACCATTGCGGTCAGAAAGAAAACTCCAGGAGCTCAGGAGGCTCGCGATGAATAGGACTAAGTGGAGAGAGCTGAAGAAAGACTGATTGTTGCTGCAGGATGCCGAGGCTACCGCAGCAGCAGAATACAGTGGACTACTACTACTACTAAGTCTTAGAAAGACAAAGGTCAAGGTCTGTACTGTCTACGTGCAAAAACGTGGCCAAACGTAGGGCATCCGTGCGTGGTGAATACCACCTCCGTACGGAATCCTACGGATTTGGGAGCACGCAGACACGTAAATCTGCGGATTTACCACCTGTGCGTGCGAGTACGAGCGACGCGCGTGCCCCGTACGTGCCGTTCGAAAGAAGCACATGTGAGTACGGCCTCCTTACGATAAAGTTGCAATCGCACAGAGATCGTACGTTGTAAGCACGTACAACTCACTTACCACTTGCGCAACGTACGATGCACGCAGCCGCTCACGGCAAGACGTAACGTACAGACCACACTCTTACACCTTGCGAAACCGTGCTATTGACGTGAGAGTGACGTGCGTCGACGCCACTCCTTCCCTACGTTTTCAGAAAAAAAACGAAGCAGACAGCCCCCCAAAAAACGTACGGACAAAAAGCACGTACGGCGGGTTGTGACCGTAGCTTTAGTGAGACCCACTCACCGCTCCTTTTAATCCTTGGCGGGACCCAGTCACCGCTCCTGTTATTCCTTGGTGGGACCCAGTCACATATGGTGAATATATATGTTAGTTTGTTTTTGTTACCACACAGGTTTACACCACACAGATTTTACCACACTGGTTTATACCACCAAAACACCGGTTTGCACCAAGTTTCACCACACAGGTACATGAGTTTACATTACAAATGTACTAAGATCTCCTCCATAATTTCCACCACACAGGCTGTGCCACACATGTATTTTTACCACACAGGTTTATCACCAAAAGGTTTCGCCACACAGGCTACAACACAGTACACAGGTGACCGAATACACAAAGTCTACACAAATTCTATGCCAAAACATGTATTTACACACCTTGCCCTCCCCATGCACTCCATGTCAAGTTCACATACAGATGTATTTATCCCTCGCCCTCCCTACTCGGTACGTGGCGGTTTACAAGACAGTAAAAATTGATTTAAAATCTAGGAATGCCACCATTTACAAGTCAACAATATGTTCAAGTATTACTTGTAATCTAATCAAGAGGAAAAACCCCAGCAATTTAGTAAAAAAATACGTAAAAATGAGAAAATACGAGTACTCAGGAGGTCTCGTGTTTGCTGCCGCTCACCTTCGCGAATGTGTAGATTCGGTAAGATTCGTTGCAAAACACCTGCGGTGGCTTTGGTGTTAACCAATTGTAACGTTACTTTTAACGCTTTAATCAATACGAGAGTGACTGCTTGTCGCTCATATTATTGTAATTTCATGACTCGATTAAGCTAGGCTGGACAAATACGGTATAAATTTCTGGGACATGGCCAGAAAGGCCCCTTTCCCAGTTCTACGTGAAATGATAGTTTAAAAACCCGATCTAAATACGATTTACTTAAACGCCACAGCACTTGACGTAATCGGTATCTGATCTTACGCAGTTTCTTTCATTGGTCCTTGTTATGCAGCCAGCATTCAGGAAATGCGCATGATTGGCATAAGGTCTTTTTCGTCTTCCATAAGATGCGTCCGTTTTGCATAAAGTTTTGTACGTTAGTTATAGTCGTACGTAAGTTTGCTGATGCCCATCTGGCACAAGTCCCAGCTTACAAAAGTAGCGCTGAACCAGAATACAACATCGAAGTACGGTAATAACGAAAAAGTTTGATTTTGAGTGAAACGTAAAAATGTTTGAAATGTTTTGAATTTACTTTCATTTCACTTTTATTTTAATTTACTGTAATTTCAATAGATAGATGTATATAGATGTATAAAGATATATCTATCCATCTAATATATATAGTTCATCTAAGTCGGGTAAGTTAGGTTTTGGGTTAGAGCCTTGTGTTTCACCGTATTAAGGCCAAACTTTAATATATGTTGATACATTTTTTTGAAAGTTGGTAGATGATGTGGTAAGTTCCTTACTTCCTAAGGGTAAAAAACACCGGTTGCTTTAACTCTTAAACAATGACAAATCCTACCCAATAGATTGAATAGCAGTCGAATGGTATTTGCAAACTACATGTACCTCTTCCCTCTCCCTCTCTTCGTCTCATTTACACATGGTATTAATATCAACGTAGAACCTGTGTTCTTTAAGTCAAACAGAAGTGCAATCCTACTTCTTCATTTAATTTTTTTGTGCTAATTTATGCCACCATAACATTTTTGAAAAATGTCGGATCAGTTGTAACAATATTATTTTACTACAACTAAAATTTTGCTCCCTCCCCTCGCCACAGTGACATTTTCCTTCACCCTTGATGTTTTGTAAGCCTCGTTGTTTAGCCAAAAAAGAAAAAAAAAAGAAAATTACAATGGGCCAGTACTTGCGAAATTATAACCAAATTTAACCTCTTGGCATAAAATGCTATTTACACGGAACATCTATAACACAGGATGGGCAGAGTTCTGATTACGGGGGCATCGGGTCTTTTGGGCCGCGCACTGATACAGGAGTTCCAGGGCACAACAGGCTGGGAGGTACTTGGACTGGCTTTCTCACGTTCAGGGGGGAAACTAAAGAAGGTGGACCTGCGCGACCAGGAGACTGTGAAGAAGACTGTACAAGAATTCAAGGTAGGCATGCGTATTTTTACTAATGACTAAGTTTTGCGGTTTTAGCACAAGCCGTTCGAACTCTATCCGACATTGAAGTTGGCGCGGGCACTCCCCCCCCCCTCCAGATCTAGATAAGGTTAAAGCGGGAGATCTCTAAAGGCGTTATTTCGATCTTAATAATGTTTTTTTTTTATTTTCTGTACTATTGTTTGTCAATAATTAACTTAAGCATCTTTGTTTTTCATTTTGTTAGACCATCAATGGTTTCTTGAATTACTTCAGATTTTGGTACTTTTAAAAGTACTACAGAATCTAGGACTGACCTTAAAATGTGGTTTAATTTGGCGTTTAGATCCATTCGGATAGCTACAACTTTAATAGGTAGCAACAAAAATTAGCAAAACTACTTGAAATGTCTTTGGACTGATCTGGGTTTATCACCTACTTACTTGTTACGTATCACCTAACCCAGACAAATTAAATCACAATGGATTGTAAACTTTCGTTTGCATGAAATGTTAAGCTAACCAAAATTGAAATACACAACACAATCACTATGTCAAAAGTAAAAAAAAATCTTAAAAAACTAGAGTTTCATGACATCATATCTTTAACAGATGATGCTAACATTCACGACAGACGAGTGATAAATGCTTCGTATAAGTACACAAGCAAAATTATGATTTGTACAAAGTATACAAGTCGATAGTAATCTCTACACAAATACTGTCTTAAATTAACAAAGAGATTTCTTTTGGAATTTCATGATGAAAATGCGATACTAGTTTAAATGTGTAATGATTTTCACCTTAAGTTAACTGCAGAAAAGTATATAACATTCGCTTTATGTTACTTACTCACCGGCCACAGAGAAAGGCGGTCAAGTATCTAACTACAATGGCCTTAACCCAGACAACTAGACCAGGGGGGGGGGGGGCTAAAAGTGCCCGCGCCAAATTTGATGTCACATAGCGTCTAAACGGCTAGAGCTAGAACCGCCAAACTCGGTGACTTTTCCTAAAATATTGTTGGCAACAAATCTGTATCAGTGGAATAAGATTATCAACGGATTTCTGACAGCCATTTTTGCTCAATTCAATAATTTCCGTTTCAACAACAGAATTTTATGGGTTTTATGCCAAGTTACACATGGTTTCTAATATTAATAACATCTCATATAATTGTATGTAAATTTTATCATTAAAAATGCATAATTCATTCTAATTTGATGACGTCATTGGCCAAAATCCAAGATGGTGGACCATATCATTAGATCAGGTAAATACACCTTATTTTTCTTAAAATTTCATCAATACTCCCATTTCTTTTTACAAAAAAGGTTCATATGAACGTCTTTCGTCTGTTTACAATGTATTTTAGGCTTTATCCTGAAAAAGAACCTTTTTTTTTAATTCAAGATTGGTGATCCAAGATGGCGGATAGGTAATATATGCATGACGTCATTTTATGACGTCACCGGTGTTGCAATGGGCAACATAAGACTAAAAACACCCTAATATTCTGTCATAAACACTTTTGGTAAAGTTATGTCGTATACCGTTTAGTTTTCAGGGAATAACCTATCTAGACGGTTTTAGCCAATAAGATCACATTAATGACGTCATAATGACGTCATATTACGTCAGAACGACAAAAAATTGTATGTAAGATATATTTTTTCAAGCACACCTTCCTCTGAAAATTTGGTGGTCCTACAATATACCGTTCGCGAGTTCTGAGGGGGGGCGGATGAACCCCACCGGTCCTACTAAGCCCAAAAAAGCCCGGTCTAGATAGGGTTTAATTTAAAGTCCCACAAAGAACACCTTTGGCACAAAAATCTCCCTCAAGAAAGAAGTAAAGCAACAGAGTGGGAATACGACCGTGATTTATTCAATTCACTGTGTAAAACTTTGTCTTTTGAGTAATAGGATTATTTCACTAAAAAAAATCCTTTCATCTCCATATTCCTTTTTTCAAATGCAATTGTATGAAACATATACTTGACTTTTCCAGCCTGACGTTGTCATCCACTCTGCTGTCAAGAAGAGTGAGGCGGCATGTGTTCTTAACGTGGAGCTTGCAATAACGGTGGCCCAGGCTGCAGGTAAAGATTCACATTAAAGATAGGCAAGTAGCTATACAGTAAGGAAAACAGGTAACGGTATGCAAAAGGTAGACACGGTTTACACTAAAGGTAGACAGGTAACGGTTATGATGATGAGACAGGTAACGGTTTACGCTTAAGGTATAGGGGTAACGGTTTACGCTTAACCCTACCTAGACCGGGGGGGGCTAAAAGTGCCCGCGGCAACTTTGATGTCACCTAGCGTCTGAACGGTTAGCCGTAGAACGGCCAAACTTGGTGACTTTTCTTAGAATATTGTTGGCAACAATTCTCTATCATTGGAATAAGATAATGATTTTTTGTGTTGCCATGGCAACGGGTTTCTCACAGGCATTTTTTTGCTAAATTTAGTACTTTTTGTTTCAACAATAGAATATTATGGGTTTTATGTCAAGTTACTCATGGTTTCTAATATTAATAACATCCCATATAATTTTATGTAAATTTTATCATAAAATATGCATAATTTATGCTTATTTGATGGCGTCATTGGCCAAAATCAAAGATGGCGGACCATATCATTAGAACAGGTATATACAGGTTATGTTTATTAAAATTTCATCAATACTTCCATTTCTTTTTCCCAAAAAGGTTTAAATGAAGGTATTTAGTATGTTTACAATGTATTTTAGGATTTATCATAAAAAAACTATTTTTGAAAACTCAAGATTGATGATCCAAGATGGCGGATATCTTAAATATGCATGACGTCATTTTATGACATCACCGGTGTTGCTATGGGCAACATAAGACTTAGTACACCATAATATTCTGTCATAAACACTTTTGGTACAGTTATGTTGAATACCATTTAGTTTTCAGGGAAAAACCTATTTAGACGGTTTTGGCCAATAAAATTACATTAATGGCATCATAATGACGTCATATTACGTCATAACGACATAAAAATTGTAGATATGATAAATTGTCACTAGTACACCATTCTTTAAAAATTTGGTGGTCATACGACATACCGTTCGCGAGTTCTTAGGGGGGTTAAAAGAGCCCCCCCCCCGTCCCCCCCTGTCAAAAAAAGCCCGGTCTATGTAGGGTTAACAAAAGCCCCCACTGAACACGTATGCAGTTAACCTAAAACTGCACCTGGACAACATCACGTCCAATGCAGACTAAACGCAACAGGACTTCAACAAAGCCATGGATACAATTTGTAATCAGTAATGAGCCAAATTTTGAAGCAACGTAGGGGCATAGATACAAATGCGCTGCTGGCAGACACTTGAATATTTATCTAAATATGTACCAAGTGTTCTTTGAACTATGAGACTGAGAAAATGTTCTGGAATTGTAATCGGTTGAATGTTGACAATTCTGTGTAAATATATATATATTTACACAGATTATATAATATATAATTTAGTTTCCTTTAACACATCTTTATGTTTGGTTCACGAAGAATGCCAAACGTGTACACAGATTGTTAGCTTTTGTCACGATGGTCAAAAATCCTCACTTGGAAGTCATTAATTTTATTGAGAAATCGGTGTCAATCATTCATTTCTCTATTGCCAACAATAGCTGACTGGTTCACGCCTTTAGTGGTCGGAGACTGGACATATTTTAGTGATACCTTTTAGTCGCATTTTTTTTGTCGCGATATTGATCTTTCATATTCACTCCTCTCCCCGCGCTTATTGTTGTTTAATTCACACAATTATCAATGAGCCATTGAAGTAATTTTTAGTTTCTTTATGCCACCAACAAATAATTTGCAACTGTGCTACATTTTGTCTATTAAATATTCCCACATGGATTAAAGTTTCCCGGGTCCATCGACCTTAAGCGCACTACGGCACGGAACGCGCCGCCATCGGCCGCGTGACACACTCTAGAAATATGTCTAAAAATTCTAGATCGAGTATTTGTTAACGAACATCCACCCAAAGCTCACTACGTGTGACTCAGATACATTCTGGTATCCTTGTTGTATCTGTTACTAAACAAGGTTTACGGCGCGGAAACAGCACAGACGCCATAATTGTTTGGCCGGCGTGCCGAGTACTTCAGCTAATACGCTGGGAATACATTTTAATGTTCTGGAGTCAATGATAAAAAAAGAAACATAACCGTACAAAGAAGATTTTAGAAATAGTAGAAGTAGAATAGTAAATCTTTGTAGAAGAAAGGCTGCTCAACATATCTGAATTAGACCGGTTCCCTCCTTTGTCCTTTGTTTGCAAACCGACGCCAGTTTATTTTACAGTTCATAAAATTATAACCCCTTGCTAGTTTTTTAATTCGTGTAGCCAAGGAGGTTATACACCTACCTGCATTTTAAATCCAAAATAATACCGCCAAGGCAATGTTCAAGGTCCTATCTCCAGCAACCATTTTGGTCGATCACTGTCGATGCTTTTTCAGTTTCTCGCTCGTGTCGACTCAAAGCTTTTGTGATTTTTGTCAACATTATGCTTCCAACCGACGACTTCGGTACGGTATGGATAGCTTTAGAGTAATACATTTCGCACAGATAACCCAAAAAGCTTTAAAAAAAACATCGACCTTACGATGGGGAGTTTTTGTTCTTGTTTGCTACCCCGACTTTGTTTTGACTTACTAGTATCTTCGTTGTACGCCGATGGAAAATAAGTCCACTTCAAAAGACTCACCTGATATACACGATATATACGACACGAAAAATTCCATGAACTGTCAAAGAAAATCTTCCCAAAGAGCCAGTGTCGCTGTTAATTTGCATCGAGCCACCGAACTGTTGTCTTTAAAACACGCGGCCGGGACGAGAACAATAGGGCTATGGCAGTGAAAATTTCAATTTGACTGGTAAAAGGTGAGAAAGAACCTTTCTGATCTCCACCGACCTTTCCATTATAACTCTTATTTATTTTTATTTTATTCACATTTATTTTCCGAGGATGAGGCAAAAAGTTATAAAATTATCTCAGCCCTCTCCTCACACATAAAAGGATACAATAAAACAAAGTAATAATAAGAAGAAGAAATGACAAGGGTACATAGTATGCTGGTGTACAAATCAAAATGAATCAACTAAATCAAACAAAACGTCCTGTCTGCAAAATAAAGTTGAAAACCACATCAAATATGTTACAGTTGTTGACAAACGACAATGAGGGGTTACCCCTGAGAATGGTTGAACATAAAGTGTTGTCGGTGACGTTGTTTGTGTCAAATGGCAGAATGTTAGTTAGAGATGATAACATGTCAATGCGTTCGTCAGTGTACAGTGGGCAGTGTAGGAAGTAGTGTACAGCTGTTTCGTTGAAGTGACCACATTTGCACGCAGGACTGGGCACACATAGATGTTGGAACAGGTGAAAGTTTAACTGACTGCGGTTGAGTCTGAGTCTGGTAAGGTGGATAGCTGGGTTTCTCGGACCGTGGGAGAAGTGAGGTTGAGTGTGAGGGCTGTGATAAAACGTCTCCAACTCTTTTTTAAAGATGGCAATTGATGTTGATGCCCGTATAGTTAATGGCAAGTTATTCCAGGAAACAATGGAAGTAGGCAGAAAAGATCTTTTGAATTTCTCAGTTCTGGCAGGAATTAAGACGTATTTCTGATCAGTACGGAGACTGTAGGGGGTGGAGTCACGGGTTTGTAGTGGTACCAATTCCTGTAAGTATTTTGGTGCTAATTCTTTGATAATTTTATAAAAGTTTACAAGTTTATGCTTTTGACGCCTACATGACATGGTTTCCCAGCCAACCTCAGACAAGATGCTATTACTATTTGTTCCTCTCATTGCGCCAGTACATATCCGAGCTGCATTGAGTTGAATAGATTCAATTAAGTCAGAGTCTTTACCAGTTAATCCGTCCCAAACAACGTCGGCATACTCCAGTAATGGCCTTATCATTACTTTATATAAGGTTTCAAGAGTTTTTCGTGGAACAAAGGATACTATTCTTTTTAAAAGGTTAATCCGTTTCATCGCGGTAGCAGTTATAATTGAAACATGTAATGACCATGATAGATTAGGGGTAAGATGTAGGCCGAGGTGTTTATGGGAAGGGACTTCCATTAACTGAACTCCTTTAAAATACAATGGTGGGTGGGCAATTTTTATACGTTTGGATGAAAATGTAATAAGTTCAGTTTTGAGTGGGTTAAAGGTCACCAGCCATTGGTCTGCCCAGTTTTCCACTATTTTGAGGTCATGATTTAGTCTATCAGCTGAAATAACAGGATCTCTAACAACTTCGGTCAGTGAAGTATCGTCGGCGAATAGACGGCCGTCTGTTACCAAGTCATCCACTAAATCGTTAATAAAAACGAGAAAAAGCAACGGGCCTAAGAGCGAGCCCTGTGGCACGCCCGCATCAACAGGCACCCAATCAGAACAGGTGCCGTTAATCACGACACGCTGTTGTCGGTCGTTTAAGTAAGAAGAGATCCAAGCTAGAAGAGATCCGGTTATTCCTAGTTGCTCTAATTTGAAAATTAACCCCGCGTGCCAGACTTTGTCAAACGCTTTGGATATATCTAGGAAGACAGCGCGTGTATCAAGTCCTTTGTCAAGTGCAAGATGCACATTGTGAGTTAGATATGTCAATGAATTTATTGTGGAGTCCACAGGGGAAAACCCAGAGTTCCGATCAGTAAGCAGTTTGTTTTCCAGGAGGTAAGAAGACACTGGCATGTAAACAATTCTTTCAAAGACTTTCGATATACAACATAGAAGAGAAATAGGCCTGTAATTTATCTTGTCTTGTTTGTCGCCTTTCTTGTGAATTGGAACTGCGTGAGAACGCTTCCAAATTGTTGGAAAACAACCACCTTGAACTGATAAGTTTAACAAGTTGGACAATGGTTCAGCCAAGGATGGGGCAATGTGTTTAAGCAGTCTATTACCTATACCGTCAGGCCCTGTGGCCTTACTTATGTCAAGGTTACACAGGACTTGATACACTTCGGCTAGAGAACAAGTAATACAATCAAGAGTACACTCAGTCCTGGGTACAAATTGGGGAAAAGAGGCACCCATTGTGTTTAGGTATGTTTGTGACGCAAAGTACTGATTGAAAGTATCAGCTTTGGCCTTATCGTCGGATATAACACATCCATTGTCAATCAAAGATGGTATTGTATGATCAATTTTGCCGAGAAAAATTTCTTTGGAGACTGACCACCACTTCTTAGGATTCGTAGTCGATAGTTTAACTTGGCTTTCCTGATCAAATTTGTGCAGGAATTGCGGATGTGTTTTAAATGTAGTAAACAGAGTTGGACTTTTCGTCCTTTTGTACTTCCGATAGATTCGCTTCTTTTTCCTCAGCATGTGTCTAATTTCACAGGTCATCCAGGGTTGATCACTCGGGCGGACAGTGATTTCTTTACAGGGAACAAACAGTTTAATAGCACTAGAAAGAGTTGCCATAAATGCTACAGTTGTGTCGTTTATATCAAGACTATTCGCTGATAATATGGCATTCCAGTCCGTAGCAAGGAGTTTAGAGTTTTAGTCCCTCGTAATCAGCCTTTCCAAAGTCGTAGACAGTGCGTTTAAATACTTTAACATGAGGGATCTTGAGGGACATTTTTCCATAAATAAGGGAGTGGTCGCAATTTGACAAAGGGGGGCTCGTACCACACTCAGTAAAAAGACATGGAGAGTCAGTTATAATCAGATCAACCATGGATGATGTCCGATCAGTAATGCGGGTGGGCTCACTTATGAGTTGGACAAAGTTGTTATCGGCCACAAACCTATCAATTTCGACAGAGGCGTTATCAGTTGCACTGTTCAAGTCTCCAACAATGATTACAGCTGTTTTATCAGTGGGGCGACTGGTCATGATAATGTCTGCGGATTGCTGCAGGTGTTCTATAAATGCATTGCGTTCTTCCGCACTCTGACCAGGTGGCCTATAACAAGCACATATAAACACATGCCAATTGTTGGCCTCTACCTCGCACCAAATTGTTTCAAACGAGTTGCATTCTAAATCATTCCTTCTTTTCGAAGGTACAGAGTTCAGTACATATAGTGCGACTCCACCACCATGCCGATTTCGATCACGTCTCATGGGGGCTTGGTAGGAAGCGAGAGAAATGTCCGAATCGGGAATGGTAAAATCGCACCATGTTTCAGACAAAGCAATAATATCATATTTCTCTTCAAGGGCGATTGTCTCAAGCTCGTGAAGTTTAATATAATCGTTAGCAGACAGGCTCCTCACGTTTGAGTGGCATATGGACAAACATCTCTGTAAACTACCCATAATCAAATTGAATTACTTGCAATGCCACCAAAACGAGAGGACTTAGATGATAACAAGGACACCAGCTACAAAACTCATAGGTAAGACACACAAAGAAATACATAATCCTAACTTCTAACACAGCAAAAACATAAGAACATAATCAAGTCAAGGGCCTCTAAAACAGAGGCCATCAAAAAGAAACTTAGCTAGAGAGCGCTGGAAAGTCCTTCGGTGCTGTGTCAATCAAAGTCATTACTCGGGGACCCGATAAGCGTCCAAGTCGATCGCTGTGTACAATACCCGCCTTTCGTCTTGAGGAGTCTTGACGAATATTTTTCCATCATATGACCAGGCTTGGTTGAGTAGTTTCATCTTCACGAGAGACCGGGCGTCCTTCAACAGATCCATGTTGGCTTTCGTCAAGTTTTCGTTTACAAAGATTCCGTTCTCTTCAAGGCGGCCATGCCGCTGGTCTTGGCCCGCATGAGAGCTGCCTTAGACCGATACGAGCAAAATTTGACGATGATCGGACGAGGCTTTCCATCTCCTCTGGGTCTCCCCAGGCGGTGGGATCGGTCAATGTCGTTGATGTTTAATGGAGGATCACATTTGAGCGTATCATTCGCAACAGACAAAACTGGGTTATCCGTGCTCCGCTCACCAGGTGTTTCAGGTATTCCAGAAATGTTTGCGTAATTCCTCCTGGAATACTGCTCAAGGTTGTTTACTTTGGTCTGGAGCGTGTTGAATTCAGACTTGAGGTTTGTATACTTCGTTTTCAGGTCCTCAAGCTCTACCCGTTGCTGGTGTGCCTCCTCGTAGTGTTTCGCCAGCTCAGCTTGAATGGAGTCGACAACAGCTTCGCGTACAGCGGACACAATGGAGGGCACTATGGCGGCCAGTACCCCCCCATGTTGGAAGGCGTTAACAATAGAATCCTCAATAATGGCCTTTATCCTGGTATCGACGATACCTGGAATAACGTCTTCTTTTTCCCTTGCTGTAAGGCCCATGTTGGAGTAACCAGGAAGTAACAAACGGGACGCAAAAGTCAAATTATTAGCACCTCAAGGACAGCGCTAATTAATCGTGCCTGCAGACGGCAGCCATCTTGAAATTATAACTCTTAAACAAGCAGTCTGGCCCACTTGGATTTTAAACCAACCACAAAATCCGTATTTTAAGTAATATCTCCCGATCCTATCGCTAGAATTCGACTAAAATACACCATTGTGAAAATAAACATCTGGCTGCCATCTTGAAAAGGAATGACGTGATTTTCTTGTGCCGTTATGAAATCATGGGAGAAAACAGCATAAATGATCTTTAGAGTAATCCAAGTTTACGAATTATCACTTTCTTATTAAATTTGTCCGAGGCTATTTTGTATAAATTTGGATGTTTTCTTACTGGGGGCATTTTTAAACCAAAAAAATAGCCAAAAAAAGCTGTTTCTTGTGATTTTGACCAGAAAATTAGAACAAAGTACCCATTTTAAACAAAATAGCCTCGGACAGAAATGATCTGTATAAGATTGGCTTTCATCTTGTAGAATATAACGATGGTAGGTGTAATTACCATTTATCCAATGCGTTTAAAGTGCAACTAAAACTGTGTGAAGTTTCATCGCGGTGCGATCAAGCTATCAAAAGCTCCAGGCATATGTATAGAATACTACATGTACTTTCCCATAAGCCTAGGACGCCTTAACTCTACCGAGGGGGGCTAAAAGTGCCCGCACCAACTTTGATTTTACCTAGCGTCTGAACGGCTAGCGCTAGCGCTAGAGTGACTTTTCCTAGAATATTGTTGTCAGCAATTTTATATCATTGGAATAAGATAATAATTTTTTGTGTTGCCATTGCAACGGGTGTCTGAAAGGCATTTTTAATAAATTTAGTATTTTTGTTTCAACAATAGAATTTTATGGGTTTTATGTTAAGTTACTCATGGTTTCTAATATTAATAACATCCCATGCAATTTTATGTAAATTTTATCATTAAATATGCATAATCTATGCTAATTTGATGATGTCATTGGCCAAAATCCAAGATGGCGGACCATATCATTAGAACAGGTTTGTAAGGTTATTTTTCTTAAAATTTCATCAATACTTCCATTTCTTTTTCCAAAATGGTCTTTAGTATGTTTACAATGTACTTTAGGCTTTATTATGAACCGGTTATTCCCTGAAAACTAAATGGTATTCAACATAACTTTACCAAAAGTGTTTATGAGAGAATATTAGGGTGTTCTTATGTTGCCCATAGCAACACCGGTTACGTTATAAAATGACGCCATGCATATTCAAGATATCCGCCATCTCCAATAATCAATTTTGAATTTTCAAAAATAGTTTTTGTTTATAAAGAAGGTCCACCCATGCTCTATACAGAGCATAGAGTTTTGGTGCCCATGTCCATTTTCCGTAGCCCTTGGGCGACACACAATTGTGCAGGGCACTACAACGTGTGTAGGGTAATCCACCTAAAGCTGAAACATTACGCACGACTAATATAAGCGAAATATCGACTTGTGATCTTGAAATTTCCTGAGCAACCTCCCAAATTTCCCTAAATGTTTAACAACAAGGACGTCTACCCCTCGGTCCTACATTGAAAGCCATTCTGGAAGCTAGAACGTATCATGACGAGTCTCGTTTTCGTGCAAGATCACGTGCGTTCGCGTAGCGCTGTACTCTCGGGGACCGCTTTTCAAAGTGGCAGCGAATATTTTAATTGCGCCTATTCAGGTAGGATAAATGAGAGTGCACAGGGTAGGAGAGAGTTTATTAGAGATAGGTAGTGTGAATGAGTCTGCACAGGGGTGTGTGACAAAGCATCAGAAATATGTAGCATGAATGGCTGATGATAATTATGGTATACATTACAAGATGTTTTGGTTTAATGTAAGTAATTTCCGCACGTATGCAAATGTTTGTATACATGGTTAAATCTTGCATATCTTTATGAACTATATTTTTATTAATCAGAAGATACCATTCTCCCTTTTTTGGCTCGATCCGAAGCTGTTCAAAGCAACAGTACATATACATATAAATGAATAAATTGTATCGCTCAAAACAAAGAATTCAGGCATTAAATACCGTTATATTTATATATTGTAAAGATAACAGTAAGTAAAGTTGATTACTGGATTCATTTCAGCTGATGTCGGTGCCTTTCTGGTGTACGTCAGCACCGACTATGTGTTTGACGGGAGGTCTCCACCCTACAAAGTGACGGATCGTCCAAATCCCCTCAACAAATACGGAATCAGTAAGCTTGCGGGAGAGATGATGGCTTTGGAGATCGCCAAAGGTAAGGCTCCATAAATTACTAGTTTTCTTTAAGGCCATGTTGATTTGATTACACGAATGGCATCCACATCCCTATATACCGTACTCTTTGTCATTGGTTCATCCTTCATTACCACGTAGATTTCATAATAAAATCACCTTTTTTGCATTTCTTCTACTATTCGCACCCACATCAACATAGGTTTTGGGTACCCGGAGGATGCCATCCATATAATCAAATCAGCATTGCCTAATGAAAACACCGAACTTATAATTTTTTAGAAATACAAACCGTCGTACATACATTTTTAGAAGTGAAACAAAGAAGTAAAAAAAAAATCAAACTTTCCACGAGTCCCCTATTTTCATAAAGCAACATCCCTATTCAGACTAAGCTTTTGGTGTCATGCTGGAACCGAGGAAGCTTTTCAGGCCCGCCCCAGGTAGCTAACCCGTATGGCCTTCATCAATCACCATCCCATCAAGTTTTATGGGATGGTACTCGAAAAGTAAGTGTACGCAGGCCATTTACAATGCTAAGAAGACCTAAGAAGGACAAGTAAGTAGTACTCGTGAAATTAAATCATAGCAAGAACTATAAAACCATTAGAACAAAATATGAAGCGATTATAATCCTGTTTATATGATTTCATAAAGCAGTAAATATGGATGTTTCCAGTAAAACGCAAAGGGTAAACAACAAAAATAGCAAAATTTATGATACTCTATTAGGGTATGCCAACACTAACAATACAAGACTACAATAAAATATGACTTAACCTTATCTAGACCGGGCTTTTTTGGGCTTGGTGGGAACGGCTCATTCGCCCCCCCCCTCAGAACTCGCGAACGGTATATCGTAGGATAACCAAATTTTCAGAGGATGGTGTACTAGTAAAATTTATCATACGTACAATTATTATGTCGTTGTGACGTAATATGACGTCATTTTGACGTCATCAATGTGATTTTATTGGCCAAAACCGTCTAGATAGGTTATTCCCTGAAAACTAAACAGTATACGACATAACTTTACCAAAAGTGTTTATGACAGAATATTAGGATGTACTTAGTCTTATGTTGCCCATAGCAACACCGTTGACGTCATAAAATGACGTCATGCATATATTACCTATCCGCCATCATGGATCATCAATCTTGAATTTTGAAAAAGTTTTTTTTTTCAGGATAAAGCCTAAAATACATTGTAAACAGACCAAAGACGTTCATAGGCCCTGTGAGTACTGGCACTGAGGATAAGTGTGGCAGCTCCAGGGATGTCGGACTCGGAAGATTCGAGGACGAATCTTGAAAGAAAAGGGGGAGTAGTGTAACAGTGGGGTTTATCCTCCGCTAACTGACCATGCTAAAGGGTCGTGCGACCTTTTAGTGTAGTGGTTAGCGTTGGTGACCGCCAAGCGGACAACTCGGGTTCGATTCCCGGTTGCGACCTGCTCGCCCCTTTCGGTTTTTACAATATGAACCTTTTTTGTAAAAAGAAATGGGAGTATTGATGAAATTTTAAGGAAAATAAGCTGTATTTACCTGTTCTAATAATATTGTCCGCCATCTTGGATTTTGGCCAATGACGTCATCAAATTAGCATAAGTTATGCATTTTTAATAAAATAAACACATAATTATATGTGATGTTATTATCATTAGAAACAATGTGTATCTTGACATAAAACCCATAAAATTCTGTTGTTTAAATGGAAATTTTAAATTTGGCAAAAAATGCCGGGATGTTTATCTGGGATGTTTTAATTATTAGAAACCATGTGTAACTTGACATAAAGCCATAAAATTCTATTGTTAAAACAAATTACTAAATTTAGCAAAAGATGCCTGTCAGAAACAAGTTGCCATGGCAACAAGAAAAACCATAATCTTATTTCACTGATACGGATTTGTTGCCAACAATATTTTAGGAAAAGTCACGAAGTTTGGCGGTTCTAGCTCTAGCCGTTCAGACGCTATGTGACATCAAAGTTGCCGCGGGCACTTTTACCCCCCCCCGTCTACATAGGGGTAATCAGTTTATCTTTCAACTTTTGTAAGGAATTGTTGGATGACTGTATGTCCGGTTTATGCCCATTTCTAGTGCGTCGCCCTAAGACGTTGGATCTACGGAGAGGTAACCAGTGTTCAAAGTTAAAGTTAAAAAGCGATCTTGGCACTATTAGACACAGACACAGCTAGCGTAGTCAGGCCCAGTACAGCCGTGTATCTAAGGTAGGCGCAGCCCATAATACGGCAGGCTCTCCGCTGGATTCTTTCCAGCTGATTGACCCTCTGGTTTGTTAGTCCTAGGGTTCACACCAGCGCCGCGTACTCAATGAGAGGACGGATGTACGCTGTGTAGACCACTTCTAGTTCATCAGGTGATAGGTTGAATTGTCTAAGCCTCTTGAGAATGAACAGTTTCCGTGATGATTGTGCTGACATGTGGTTGACTTATTCATTTTAGGTCTTTTTTAATGCGGAAACCGAGTATTTGCAGGCGGAAACCGAGTATTATTTCTCGCAGGGTACGACAGACAAGGTTGATGGGTTGATCTGCAATGAATGGAACGGTGGTGGTTTCTTGCTAAACGTGATGTGCATTCAAGGCGGTCTGTCACTACGGCATTCTTTCCCATTGCTAGGCGCGTTCTAAAAAGTATCGGGTTACTAGACGCTATTTTGGCCTGTTTTGGACTACCCGTAAAACACTTGAAAATAAACAAAAAGGATTTAATAGTAAATTTCGTCACATTAAAATGAAATTATTGCCTTAACATCCTTTCAATATTAGCTGTTTATGTTAAATCATTGATTTTGCAAAATTTCTCTCCGAAAGACGATTTTTTTCGGGTTTCCGACCACTAGTCATGTCATGTTTTTAGGCAAACATCTTTCGATGACTGGGAATAAGATAAAAAATCGTGTTTTAGGGATTTTTTAATTTCTGATTTTAAGTCTAGTTTTTGTCGACATATTGGTAAAAAGATTGATTTTTTGAACATTTTTCGCAGTAAATTACCCATAATTCAAAATTGAGGCCATTTTTTAAAAATCCCTAAAACACGATTTTTGGGACAACCGTAACGGTCATTTTGTATTTTGAGCCGTGAATGGGGTATGTTTGACTCTCCATGCTTGCAGGTTAAAACGAGTTTTGCAGACATGTCATGTTGACCAAAAGTCTGCATTGTGTTATTCATACTGATGTAAAGAATCATTACAGTATTCAAGGTCACCCAAGGATACGACAGTAGCTTCGCTACATGTCCACAAAAAATGATAGCGGACATGTACTGTCCAGGAAACTGTTTGTATCTGTAGAAAAGTGTTGTTTTTTTATCTCTTGCAAGGCACGGAGGCAGAAATGCTTGTTTTGCCGCTTTATTGTAAATGACCGCAGGTGACCCCGAAAATGGAACGCGGGTTCGATTCGAATTGCCCAGATCGAACACGATCGAACACAGTTCGGGTTCTATGACATGTGGGAACTTTGCAGCCCAGATTTCACCACCGTGATTGCTAGGCACGTGGCACCATTTCGTAGCATGTGGTTCTCCTTTGTTTAAGATATTAGTTTGTCTAGGTCATTTTACAGACAGGAGGGCGCGGGCGCGGGCGATTCTTGTTTCCAGGAAGTCCATGTCGTCGACGTATTTTAAAGCAAAACAGATTGCATCACTTCCCCATTGTCCAAGGAACAAGGAAAGCACGGAGCCAAGTAAAGTGCTTTTGGCCACTCCGCAAGTGAGAGTCTGGTAGTGATTCTCTGTACCGAAGTCGCTGTTTTTGTGCAGTGATAAAGTCACAGAACCACGGTGCTACTTCTGTCCTCAGGCCCTTGTTAAGCACCTTGGCTATCAACTTGGACAAAGGCCTTAGAAAAGTCCATGACCACAATAGTGCCGATTTGTGCGGCGGGGTTTTGTTGCGGGGTTTTGCTCCGGGCCAACACCACACAAAAACCTCTTGTTTCTGTCTGAGATATTGTCGCAAACTTTCCCGGATATTTTAGGTTTCCGGTAGAACCCGGGGGTTTCCAACAGAACCCGGGGGTTTTCAACAGAACCCGGGGGTTTCCAACCTGCACACGCAATGTGTCCAGTACCGTACATGTCCTGGACATTCCAGGAAATGGACCAATTTTGTGTGCAGGCCGTATACGGGGCGTTAAATGCCAGGACACGAGTCCTTTAAATCCATGTACACGGCAGAAAATTGCCATGTACCGCTCCGTGTGTTGCTGGAATATCCATAATTTAGCAGCAATTATCGCCTAATTATTCTCAACACAGCAGCGGAAATTCACCGTCAACGGGTCGGACACGCCGGTACTACGCTCCCGGGACCGGTTGCGCCCGTTGCCGGGCCCCCGTTGCCCTCGCTACCGGAACCCCCTTCCCGCACCCGGGGTCTTCACACGCCGCTCCCGAGTAACCGCTTCCCCCGCTACGGGGACCCCACTTCCCGCCTATTGCTAAGGTCCCAATTGGAAAAAGGGGCACTGGCGGGTAGTTCCCGGGCTGTTTTTTTGTACTTTCGGGCGGGACTCTTACGTGGCCCCGCGGGACACCCTGCGGCTATCGGGCTATTTTGGGGGACGGCGGGGCCCCGAGAAGAATTAAATTCTGACTTAAATTCTACCCGAGCCCCGCTGACAAAAAGACACCGTGACCGCACCGTGAGGACACCGACAAGTACCCCTCCGGTTGCCGGCATTCCACCGGGACACATTTGTTACGTCACAGACCAGATGAACAGAATAAAGGTGTGTACTTCGTAAACCCGGTTGAATGTGTGACGTCACCGATCAAATGATCACAACAAAAGCGTGAATTCTGCATTACGTATGGGTCAGTACAACACATCGTCAGAGAATCTGCCAGGTACCTACCGGATGCCTGCCGGAGACCAACCAAAGAGGGTGACAAAATTTTTAACAAAATGCTACCGAAGGAAACTTTATTGTGACCACGACAGCTGATGCCCGCCCGACTCCTGAGCCCGACCGGGACCGGCC